TCAAGTGGTTACCCTTTGTATACCCTTTTTATTATGTATTTACATAGTAAACATAATTTAAAACCGTCGCTGTCTAACGAGCACTTCCACCCTCAGGTTAGCATTCTCTTGTATTTGGGAGATGAACCACAATGCTGAAATCCTCAAAGCTCACTTCACAAAGAGCATCATTAACTCCAAGGTTTGCATCTAATTTTCAAAAATGGATTTAAACTGATGGTTTATGATGGAATGTGCACTGTAAGGAAGTGTTGTTGTTTTATCACGTAAGGCCTCCCTTACATATGCCGAAGCTCAGATGAGGATTGATGACGGCACCATGAAGGATGACATCACGAAGAGCCTGCGGGGCCTTAACAGACTGGCCAAGATCTTAAAGGGCCGGAGGATTGCAAAAGGGTATTTCCATTTTAAATAGAATAAATTAAATAATTTGAAACACAGCTTTGATCATGAAACAGTCTTTAACCCTTTACATTGACCCAGTTTGTAAGAGTTGCTTATTATACCAATTTTTCAGAGCGCTGACCCTCTCCTCTCCTGAAGTACCTTTCCATATCAACAGCGAGACACACGACCCTATAGATCTGCAGTCCAAAGAACTCAAGTGAGTGCTATATACATCTTTCTGCCAAAGGTTTTAAAACGTTAATGTTTAGAATTTATTTTTTTCTTTTCTGTTATTTCTGCTGATTGTATGGTGAAATATAATCCCAGACTGTCTTTGTCTGGATTCTGGAAGTTTAAACTTACATTTTTCTCCAGGGAGACTAATTCTATGGTGGAGGAGTTCATGTTGTTGGCGAATATCTCTGTAGCACAGAAGATCTACGATGAGTTCTCAGAATGTGCTCTATTGAGGAAACACCCTTCACCACCGCCATTAAACTACGACATCCTCATTAAGGCTGCAAAATCAAGGGTGGGTGGAAGCTATGAAGTTTCTTATGTTTCATTTTTATATAATCCACATTTTGCAACTACAACGTGATGTATCTGAGCAAAAGAGATGTTCAACATCATGTTTTCTGATGTTGAATAATTCACTGAACAGATTCCTGAAGGGTTTTGGTGTGGAAATCATACCACTAACTAACTTACCAAGTTTACAAACACCAGCATTAAACCAAGCCAGTGTCAGACATATTTTTTGAATTTAGTTAAGGACAACATTGGACCCCTAGAATTTATTTTCAGGGACAATTTTTGCTCCGATTTAATTTGAGCAAAATTGAAGGTATTTCAAACAAGATTTGGCAAAAACAAAGGTGTTTTGGATTTTATTTCAGTGGTTCAAAACCGCTCACCAGCATAAACTTTCTAGAGAACTTCACGGATATTAAACACCTTCGAACTGCTATTGGTCCATGACGATTGTGAAATAGGTGGGTGTGTTCTGGCTGGGGCTCCATCCACCTTCTTTGACAAGTGGAAATCTTTTCAGGTGCACTTGTTCTGTTCACTCTTTCCGTTGAGGATAGACATGAGTGAAAAACATGAAAACACTGGAGTGCTGAATTGCAGAGCTTATCCCTATTAGCAGATGCTTTCTGAACTGCTGTTATTTCTTTTTTTGTGTGTGTGTGTTTGATGTGTTGTTGAGAAAAAGAGTATAGCCCATATTTACATACACATCTAAACACCACTGTCAACATCATGGATAGTGTCAGAATGTTCGATACCGTTGCACAGCTGTTTCAAACATTTAAGAGACAAACAAAAAAGACCTTCGCCTTGAGTATATCAGGGCTTTTACACCAGTAGGTGGTGACCAGTGAGTGTCTTTTCTATTGTGTCAGTGCATCCCAAACTTGTTCATGCTACGACCCACCTAGAGACATATAATCATCCCCCATGTTTAAATGTTTGAGGCATTCTGGTGACTTTCTTTGATTTTTTCCTTGCTGTTTTCTTTTTTTCCAGGACCTCAACATCCACACAGATTCAGCCAAAGCTCTGGCTGATTCCCTGAACAATGCGACAGTTGAGAACTTTCCGTACTTCAACACCCTGCTGAGGATTCTGGCCACCCGCTGCATGATGCAGGCCGTGTATTTCTGCTCTGGCATGGACAGTGATTTCCACCACTATGGCCTGGCATCACCCATTTACACACACTTCACATCACCCATCAGAAGGTGAGACGCACTGGACCACTGAATCAATTTAAAGGAACAGTTGACCTAAAAATGAACATTTTCATATGGTTTGCTTCCCCTCATGCCAACCCAGACGTATACCATTCATTCTTCAGATGAACACAAAGATTTTTAGAAGAGTTCATATAATGCCAAAATATATCATTTTGGTTATCGAAGATGAGTTTTAAGGGATAAAATTAGTGACTGCAGGGGGACTTTAAAACATAAAAAATTGACATGAAAGGGTTTTTAGTTTCCTTTTATTCAATTTACAAGGTTTTTTTGTTTTTTTTTACTAGCCAATGCACTGTTTTGTACAATTTGACAAACTTAAATTATCAGTTTCGATTTGAGCCATTGGGTTCTGTCATTTTAAATATAAGAATCATTTTCAGTGAAAATAGAACATCAGTATTACTTTTGCTTATCAGTATTCATTTTTATTTTATTTTTTTCAAAAGAAATTCCGGTTTTGTCACTGTTTTGTCCAGTAAAGATAATCATTTGAAATGGGCTTTCGTGATATTCAGAGTTTGCACTGTTTTTGATCAACAAATTTCCATACCTTCATTCCGTTTTGGAGGACCATCACTTCTTGCGTAAGCTTCACAATACATTTGTGTCAGGCTTCACAAAGCACTTAGGTTTGAATCAAGCATGAACTCGACCATCTCTTGAATCTGTGTATGACAGTTGGCCAGAAGCAATGGTTTATAGTTAAAAAGTTTAAAATGTAAGACATTGATTCATTCATTGGGGTCTTATGGATTACCGTCATGATGATTTTTTTGTGTCAAAAAAACTAAACATTTATGCTTTTTTGACTTTGTAGATATGCTGATATCATAGTTCACCGTCTGTTAGCAGTGGCTATTAACGCAGACAGTACGTACCCAGATTTGATGGATAAGCATAAGCAGTCAGCCTTATGCAACAACCTCAACTACAGACACAAAATGGCCCAGTATGCACAGAGAGCCTCAGTGGCGTTCCACACTCAGGTAGTGCAAACACCAAAAAAGCCTGACTTTTATGATTTATGGAATAATTGTTGCAATTTTTTAATATATGGTGTCTTTCATCTTAACCCTTCAGCTATTCTTCAAGAATAAGGGAATCATAAACGAGGAAGGCTTCATTCTTTTTGTAAAAAAAAATGCGATCATCATCCTCATCCCTAAATTTGGATTGGAGGGCGCTGTGTTCTTTGACAACAAGGACAAACCCAGTCCTCATCTCAGCTTTGACTCTGAGGTACGGACTAACTTTGATATTAGTCTGCACAGCCAGGCAGTATTAGGCTTACAGGTCATGTTCGTGAGATGTTGCATGATTCTGTATGAATGTTCCGTGATTGAACCGTTTTTTTTTTTTCTCCTCAGGGTCCAACACTCAAAGTGGAGGAACACACTTTCCGCATGTTTGACAAAGTTAAAGTAACAATCAGCCTGGATGCTTCCAACATACAGCATCAAAGGATCAGAATGGCGCTCATTGAACCGGTGGTATGTTTTTGTTTTCTAGATTTTTTTTTATTATTATTGCGAGACTGCAACTGCATAATTACATGGGTTTCTGAAATGATTCTGACTGGTCGATCACAGCCGCAATTATTTTTGTATAGTGACTAACTTCTAAATTATAGGATTGACCAGTCTCCTACGCTGTGCAAGTTTCATGCCTCTTGAATCAATTCCCAATTTCTTCTTACGGTAATAATTTGAACTAGTTTATATGATTTATGTTTAATAAGTACCTCATTATTGCTAAATAAACCTCTTTAGGCCGATCAGGACTCTGACACGGAGTGAAGGTGTTTTATATCATCTTGACCATCATTTTTAGGATAATTAAGGGATTTATTACACAACAACTTGGCAAATAAGTAAATAAATGGACAAATACATTTATTTTAATAATTTCTTTATTTATTTTTATCTGAGTGTAAATTGTCATTTATCCCTTATGTCCCCATAGTTTATGGCTTATTTGTGGTGATATCTCCCCTTGGTTTTTAAAAACTTGTTTTGTCTTTTTCAGATCCCTGGGGTTAGTGTACCTGTGCCTGAGTCCGAACCAGAGGCCAAAAAACCCAAGCTTGACTGCTGATACTTGTACACCAAGACCCAACATTAATACTCATTATAAAAGCAAAAATTAAATGAAAAGCCTTTCGGTTCATCTACAAGGGTAACATGAGTGAATGCATAAGTGGAAAAAATTTACATGAAAGGAGTATTTGTTTTTAATCAGTGTACACCAGTCCTGTTTTTGCTTTTGTCTACATTTTAACTCGCTAATGCAGCATTTTTATATAGTCTGAGACAAACTGTGGAATTATTAGAAATTCTCTTTAAGCAATAGTGTTCTGTCATCTTTCAAATCTGAAATTTATTGAAAACAACATATTAAAATGACTTCTTTAAAGAAATTGTTTTTTTTTTTCAGTTACATGTTTTGTCCAGTGAATGCAACCATTTGAAATGGGCACTCACAGAGATAAGTGTGATATTTCAGAAATTATATTTCAGAAAACCAACTTCTGTTATATTCAGGGTTGCCACGCTTTCTGATCAAAGAATTTCTGTGACTTAAAACCCAGATGCCAAACCCCAACATTTAACATTTAATTCTGAAGTTGACACTGGTGTGATTTTTAACTTCATTGATAAAAACAAACGTTCAAAAAACATTTGGCTAAAAACTATTTTTAATACAATCCACATGAACACATTGTGGAGTTCAAGAGATTATCACAACATTTTACAAGAATCAGAGCCACTGACAATGTGTAGAATCAGATTTGATAGTATAGAATTACTTGATACAGCCAAGAATATATATTACATGAATACATGATTAACCTGAACATTTTAGGATATCTTATTTTAGGATAGAACAGAATAATTAAAAGTAATCCATGATTTTTTTTTCCCATGACTGAAAATGATTAATTTTCAGTCTATTAACTTTTTCAGACCTAGAAATCATAAAATTCCCTTGTTTTCCATGACAACGGAATCATAAATATTGTGGTACGAGTAGCATTCCTAAAAGAAAAACTTTACATTTTATACAAACCTGTGCTATATCCATTTTGCTCCCTTTAAGAATGGCAAAGCACACATCAGCTGTCAGTACATGTTAAATGGATTGGACTAGTTTATACAAGTTAAGTGACATGTGGCGACCCATACTTGGAATTTGTGCTCTGCATTTAACCCATCCAAGTGCGCACACACACACACACACACACACACACCGTGAACACACTCCCGGAGCAGTGGGCAGCCATATTGCTGCGGCACCCAGGGAGCAATTGGGGATTTGGTGCCTTGCTCAAGGGTCTCACCTCAGTCGTGGTATTGAAGGTGGAAGAGAGCACTGGTTATTCACTCCCCCCACTGACAATTCCTGCCGGACCTAAGACTCGAACCCACAAGCTTCGGGTTACAAGTCCGACTCTAACCATTAGGCCACGACTGCCCCACGTGGCTAGATCAGCTGTGTACAAAAACAATGGTATATTCCACTGTGATGACTTTTTGTTTAGAGATTAATATTAGATGACAGCAAAGATGAAGTCTGATGTCACAGGACACAATTTTAATCCAGACAATTTATTACAATTCAGATACACACGTCACCATAATATGTATACTTTGTGGTATCTCCATATGTTTGTTAGTGATTGATTAATTCATAAATAATTTTAAGACCCTATAAAAACAGCTTGAGGAAATGGTTACATACCTGCCACCCTCTTTTAACAAATCACAAGTAATTGAAAGCAACATTTCACAATCGGTAAAACCTATACATAATCTTAAATCTAATTCAAGTTTTCGCAGTCCCAAAGTCATTTAACTTTTGGAGCAAGAATAAATACTGTAGATTAGTCCGTACAAAAACTTTCACAAGGCTCAGACAGTAAAACCAACCACAGTATTCAGAATTCATATGAGCACCATACAACTTGATGTGTAAATGTGCCGTGCGTTTCCTCCACAGCTTTGGGGGTAAGAGTGTTTAAAGTGCATGTTCTGTCCCTCATGCTCAGTGCGGTAGGATGAACAACTGCAGAACAAAACATTTCTTAGTGTGGTTATGCACAGTGCATACTATCATCAAGTACAAACTATAATAAAGTGAATATTTTGAGTGCAAAACTGAAGCTAAAAAACTAAAGCCACAATACAGCTGAATGAAGTATTAAAATGTGATGATTGGTTACAGATAATTGGTTACAGAGAGAGTACAGAATTTCCTGTTGTTTTGTGTGTGTGTGTGTGTGTGTGTGTGTGAGTGAGTGAGAGGCTGTCTGAACTGAGGGTGTCCATTAAGCTGGTAGTGCACACTGAGTGAGTGTTATAACCGCTATCCACCTGCAGAGAACATGAGGGACACATTAAACCTCAAAATTAGCTCAACCGTAGTTCACAATTCCATCATAAAAGCTTGCAAGATTTATAAAGCATAAACGTAGTTACGGTAACAATAATATGTAATAATGATTAGGCTACATTTTAGTCTCACTATTATTAAATAGTGCTACTATATATTAGGGATGTGCGGGTCTAGTCGACTACACTGAAAAAAGTGAAACTATTGTGTTGTTCATTTAAAGTGCATTTTTACATTGGACTAAGTGAAAATCATGGTTTCTGGTTTAAACCTGTTTTGTTCAGTTTGCCTTAAAGCAAATTTTAAAAGTTTATCTGGGCGGAAACTACATTTTTACCTCAGACCTCACATGCGTTTTTTTCGTGTCAGTTGCGGCGAGTTCAAGAATGACCACGCGAAAGATGAGAAGGTGTGGGATTATTTTGAATTAGAAGGAAACGGAAAAGTTTTGTGTAAACTGTGTAATGTCAAATTGTCTTACAATAACTCTACTGGAGCGATGCGTAATCATATTCAATACAGGCACGT